ATAAAAATGAACACCTGAAACAGTGCATTGAAGTTTTTTCCATCTTTGGTGCGCTCGAAAATGGGCAATTAAGCAAGGCTTCATTCTGACTGTTGAGGCTTCTCTAAAAATCTCGGAGGATGCAAAAATCTAAGATTCGGATTCGTTTTATTGAAACTAAAATGGGCAGGACTGACTTATTTGGCCCCCTAAGCAGGACATGGAAATAAGAACCGCCTGCAATGCCGGCGGCTTTGAGCCAACTTCCGGTGAACGCCTCCTTTTATTTTGACATGCCACTTGGGAATCGCATTTTCACTGCTATAAACTAGAGGTATGTTCCTATGTATAAGGATATTGAACCAAATGTCAGCCCACTAATGTGTAGGAAGTGACTGCAAATTATGTTCTCTGCTAATCTGTTTGTCGACCTCACCTAAAAAGTATTTTCCTTCAAAAGTAATAGAAAAACATTCTGGTTACTTTTTTCAGTAATTCTACTACATACCTCAGGTGATACTTTATGGTAGTCACCCAAACGAGGTCAAAAAACTCCAGAAGTTCTTCGTGCCTCAACAGAGTAAATTTTATGTTTGTGCAATTTTCTACTCTCACTGTCTGCAAACAAGAATCATCGCTTTCGTTTGTGTCCACGCAATGTGTATGTGGAAGAATTTTTGGGGACTTACTCACTCGTAACGAAGCATACAATGTAACATATGATACGCTGAACTTAGAAAATGGGATGGTCCCAAAACAACTGAAAATAAACTTTTATAATTATTTCAAAGATAAAGACTCATTTCTACGGAGCTAGCAACAACCAATGCGCAAAAGCATTGCATAAGGACCTGTTTTGCGCATGTGATATCAGTACTGGAGGACGGGAGCGTTCTTGGTAGAATGCTTTTGATTTACTGTGAATTAAACTACTCCCATATATCTCTACTGACACGCAGTGTATCGCCATAGAACAGTGCTTGAGAGCAATTAAAAGGTTAACCAGACAGCATTTCATAATGTGCCCTTTCTACCTTAGACAGGTCCAGTTCCAGTGTCCGCGTTTCCACACCAAATGCCTCTTTCAACTCGTTGGCGGCAGACTTTAGTTTCCTCCCGTTCACATCCACCAGGAGGATCTTCAATCCCTCCTTCGCGAGTTCCTTGCAGAAGGCCAGACCGATACCAGCGGCTGCGCCGGTAACAACAGCCCAGTCGCCGGCTGACTTCAGTTCCTTCCGTTTAGAAAAGAGCCATTTGCCAACTGTGTACTTCAAACTCGCAGAGAGGACTACCGCTGCGGTGTAGATAAGAGGAGACAGGGCTGTTAGACCAACAAACATCCTTAACCAGTTCATGTTTTGAGATTGAATGCAGAATTCTGCCGTGACTATCGGGTGATCGATTTTTCTTCAGATAGTTGTCGTAAACACGCACTGCGCTTCTTATAGCCAATGGAAATGCAGTTAATCTAAAAAAAAAGATTTTAATCACGCCTAGCTTGCCTGTATGAAAACTCGTAGCACAACGGATTTGCTGTGAAGGCGTTGTGCGTTTTTTTTTATCTAGGTAAGATTGATCTGATTCGCAGTGCTGACAACGGCGATGATGTTTTGACGCTTTCATTTAAACAGCCAGCGAGGAACAAAGTCACCATTCTTTGTTAACGTACGCCACTGGAGGCAGTGAATCTAATATGCCGCAGTGTTAAGGGTATTCGATAATTTTTGCGCAAAAAGGACCAATAGACTGTCCTAAAAAAGGTAGCTGTTTTTACCTCAGTTTCTTCCTTGATCCTACGCATGTGAGCTTCCTAAACAAATATACTTCTACGAAATTTCTAGACCTCAACGTGCTGGTGTTCAGCTGAACATGTTTTCATTTGCAAGACCCACTTTCGCGAGAATCCCACAATAAGATAATTCGGTCTTCGACATATACACGAATTGAGTTTTATTTTATAGAAAGGATATGAAAATTCCACTTCTTTTAACCCTTTTCAAAAGCCGTGCTAGAAAATGTATATGGAAAACGGGATTGTATTTCGGTTTAAAATGCCCAGTTATTTCCTTACATTTTGAAACGTACGTATACTGCTGTGAGTAGCAACTAATATGGAAGTTCATTTGAGCACTTCAAGAAGGTCTCATGCTGAGAAACTTGAGTTTGTTTGATAATTCAACCGCAGTGGATGACAACGTTCACCACTGCATGCGAGGTCAAGGCGGCAGTGGTAATTTGCGCGTGGATTTGCTTAAAGCGAGGTGGGCTTGCGCTGCATCTGCCTCACTCTATCATTCCAAGCCGTCTTACTCCGATGGCAAGACAGAACGAAGATGACCGCAGGTGGGTGCGGACGCAGTGGTTGACAGAGCTAGACTGCCCGTCAGCACGTTCCACACAACCCTTTTCTCATTTTATGCACGGAGCCATACCGGAGGACACGTTTCCCATGTAAGTGAGATGTAAATTTTCCTGCATGCGACGTTTCGCCGGTCAAGTCGGACTTTGTCAAATCACACCACATGCGTACTGTAAGAGTGTGCCGTGTTGTGGAAAGGTCTTACATACGCCTGTGTGACCGAGTGGGCCGATGTGCTGTGTAAGTGCTTTTTTGGTCGGGTTTGTGGAAGTTTTGTGAAGGACGCTGAACTGTGGTGTTTATCTGAAGATTTTCATGCATATACATTTAGCTGAAATGATCTATCAGGTGTCTGAATGTCTGGGACAACGTCGACAGATAGGGATTTTGTTACAGGTGTATATAGGGTCATCAGTCCGAGTTGGTGAGCGTTTGGCTGAGAATACGAGGGTTTGTGTGAGAAAAGGGACTCAATTCTACGCTCTACGGGGTAGAATCACGACAAAGGAAAATCTCGCACTTTCTATATATGCAGAAACACGATCTCAGTAGGCAAAGATGTAATTAACCTCAGCTGGTGAAAACGGCCTAAATAGGCGGATTTTCGCTACGTGATGATAAGCATTTGGCGTCCGCCAACTTATGCTTGAGTCCTCACGAGTACAGGAAATCAACCGCAACGTCAACTGGCCGTGCAGATCGAGGAGCGCGTTTCGGTTAGAAGTCGTGAACTCTTTGCTGTCTATCACTTGACTCTCTGGCAACGAGGTGAACGATCGACTTAAGGAGTCCACATTCTTGGTACAGAACATCAGAGATATTCCCGCCGAACAATTCTCAAAAAACTTAGAGCATAGTGCCGAACTTCAGCATAAAATCGTTACAATTGTAAAGCGCAGGCAGATCGAGCTGCCTATCAATAACAACGGGTGGTGAATGACTATTAATGCTTCCTGACCTAAATGTGCATGAGCCACGCCCAGCTACAGGGGACGAAAGCTTCCGCCGACCTGTCACTTTTGATCTCATCGTCTATCGAGGTGAAGCACAAGTAACTATATCTTCCGACGGATCTGGTGGCCAAATTCGGCGAGAGGTTAACGGAGTAAAAAATGCACACCGTTAAAGATATTTCGAATGCACAAAATGTGAACTGCAGAATGAGACTAGTAGTCAAGAGGTACAGTCTGATAATACTGTTACCTAGTAGACCCATGCGGTGGCTGCATGTGCGGATGAAGTGAGGGCCGTTGAGGCGGATGCGTCTGATGCATGTGGGTGCTCCAGGCACTGGTTCGCCATTCTCAGTGCGACGAACTCGCAAGTGACCGACCAGGCCGGTGCGTACGACGTATGTGTGGGCAGGATAGGTCGGCAGTGTCGGAGTCGGTTTCAGTGATGGTGGTGAAGTTGTTAATGGTGAGTGCGGTGGGCGTGGGGGGGGGCGCGGGTAGGGCTAGGAATTTTGGATGAGCAAAGTGTGCTGGTTGTGTCAGGACTGCGGTAAATTCCGCTCTCATGGATACGCATGTGATTTAGAAAGTCCATGCGATGAGTGGATGTGGGGAAAGCATATCTGGTGGTGTCGTCCGCGTGTTGCAATTGGTTTAAAGACGCTCAGCAAGACTGGTTTGTGCCCGAGACGTCCGCTGACATCGTGGGTAGGTCAGGGGTCGTTGAGCGTTGGCAGTGCGAGGTAGGGGCAGTTGAGATTTGCGAGTTCTGCGTTTGTATTTGGCGGTAGTTAGGCGGATGGCTTCGTAGATTGCCGAGCCTGCATTCACTATCCTCCTTCAGGTGGGTCGGTCTGGGGCTAGATCTTCCCAGTTTGTCGGACGATTTGCAGGCGCCTCGGGGAAGTCTTCGGAGCATCCTTGTTGCGCCGGGCTCGACCTCCTAATCGTCGGGAATCCACGTGGACATCTTCATAAAAGATCCGTTTGGGCAGTCTCTCGTCGTCCATCCGCACGTGGTTATCGCTCCAGCGCAGTTGCAGTTGTCTCAGCATGACGTAGAATCTCAGAATTCCAGTCCGGTCAAGCACTTTCTTTCCGCGATCCGGCCCTGCTTTCTCAGTTTTAGTATTCGTAAAAGACAGCTGAGGTGGAAGTGATTGGGCCTTTGCGCCTGTTTCTTGCACGTCATCCAGGCCTCGGCTCCATATAGCAGCGTCGGCAGGATGACTGCTTTGGGCGTCTTCAGTTTGCTGCTGAGATGAACACCTTGTCGATTCCAGACGGTGTTTCGCAGGGGACCAAAGGCTTGACTAAAATTGAAAATCAGGCGGGCCACTCCATCGTCGATTATGTTATCGCCCAGATAGGTGATGTTGCCCACGGCTTGCAGTTAGGTTCCGTCCAATCTGATTTGGAGGAGCATTGTGGGTAGCGTTGTGTGGCATTTGATGCATAACCCCCGTTTCCTCCATGTTGATGATCAGGCCGAAGCAGACGCAGGCGGCTGCCAAGAGGTTCACGCTCCCTTGCGTGCCTCCTTCGGAGGTGGCGTTGAGGGCGCAGTCGCCTGCGAAGAGAAGATCGTGGGCGGTAATCGTGGATACATGCGATTGGATGTGCATCCGCGGTGATTGAAGAGTTTGCCTTCCGTCCTGTAAGCGACGTGTATCCCGGGGAGTTCGTCACGAGGGACGTCCATTAACATGTCAGAGAACATCAAACTGGAGAAGGTAGGCGCGAGGACTGAGCCATGCTTTACACCATTGGCCATTGCAAATGCCTCTGATATGACTTCATTATCCGTGACGCTTGCTTTCAACCATCGTGGAGCTGACGCAATATCTGAGTGAATCGCTTGGTGAAGCCGAATTTCTACATGATTTTTCACAGTCCTCCGCCATTCACCGTGTCGAAGGCTTTCGACAAATTCATGAAGGTAGAATAGATATGGATCTGCACCTCATGACACTCTTCCTGCCGATGGCGGGCCGCAAAGATCACTTCCGCGGTCCCACGATGATGGTGGAAACCATACTGGCTTCGCGGCAGTAGACCCTATTCCGGATGATTGTGCAGACGGTTGAGAATAATACGGGCGAAGGTCTTTCCGATGATGTTAAGCAGGGAGATGACGCTGTGGTTATCGCACATTAGGCGGTTCATTTTCCACTTGCAGAGGTGAACGATTGTGGCATACTGGAAATCCTGTGAGACGCCTCCTTAACACCGCAGCTCCTGTAAGAACGTCGTCAAATGTTCCATAAGTTGGGGGCCACCGTGCTTGTAGATCTCAGCAGGGATCGCGTCAGATCCGGACACTTCCCCTCTGGAGAGCTGCTGCACGGCCTTGATGGTTTCGTGCAGATAGAGGCAGAAGGTTGAATTTGACGTTGGCTTCCATTTGAGGCAGACGGACGATGGCGGCGTCGGAGATAGTGGAAGGACAGTTGAGGAGGCCTTTGAAGTGCACGGCGCATGGCTTCAGAATTAACGTCTTCTCGGTGAGTAAGGTGGCTCTATTAGCACTGAGGAGAGGAGCAGTCACTTTAACTGTGAAACCGCAGACAGCCTTGATCGCGGGCGAAGACGTTCCTCTATTCATTACGGTCCGTGTACGCTCGAGTCTTCTCAGTCTTGCGAGCCATCCAGGCCTCAGGCATCTCCCGCAACCGTCGCTGCACAAGGCGGCGACCACAGTAGAAAACTGCTATATTGTCATCGGTGAGGCGGTTACCGTAGAATTTGTGCAGACTGTTCTTCTCAGCGGGTAGGTTGCTGATGGCGTCTTCGTTGTCGTCGCAACAGTTCTGATATTGACGGCGTGCGCGACGGGCCACCAACTGAATTACGTCTCTCACTTGACCCCATCGGTTCTCCACGGAGGCATTCACGTTGGCAACGTTGGACGCGAAGACTGGAAGTGTGGCTAATCGTCGATCTAGCGCATTGCTGAAATGGAGATTGTGAGTAGGCAAAAGCAGCAAAGCAATATTCAGCTTATTTAGGGACGCTTAATTTGAGGTCTTCTGTATAGTTTTAGGCGGATCTTTGTCTAAGAGAGGCCGAAGAGATGGTCGGCCATCCGTCGACACCCGAGATCGCCCTTGTCATCAGCACGTTGTGATGGCCTCACATTTGAACGCGAACATGGTCCAGTAGGCTCCAGTATGGCGACCGAGGGTGTATCCAGGTCGCCTTCTCCCGCGTCGGTCGACAAAAAAGATGTTTGTTGGCACCCAATTCCTCCATTTGGCCTCATTTGGAGACACGGGTCCCGTTGAGTGCAACAATGTCCACCTTGTTGCGCACCAGTTCCCAAGCGACTAGCGGCGTTTTCAGTTCCGTCGGTTGCTCCAGGTATTGTCTAAAAGAGAACAAACATTCTACGCTGCCAGGGTGAACTGACTCACCGTAGCAGTCTTTGGGGTGGGGCAGAGAGGAGAAGGAGGGTGGAGAGAGAGAGAGAAACAGTTCCGTGTTTGGCTGTTTCGACCGTATGTTTTGCATTTGCGACCTACGGTCGGTATTTGTCCTACGTGGCGGTCACTTACCCTGTGGCCTCCTGAGGGCTTGCAGACAAAGCCTCATCTTGAAAATGGCGATGCGGTAATACGTAGGACTTTTGATCATTGGGTAAGAGAATAGACTAGAGTTGAAATTAGGGGAGAGTGAATGGCGGAAGAGAAGGGCAGAGAATAGACACGAAGGAGCAGAAAGGCGCTGGCCTTCCGGCCACTGGGTCAGTGATATGATGAGTGCTGAATTTGCAAGGGTGAGCAGGCAAAGGCAATCAAGCGGTATTCAGCTTACCTGAGAGTTCACTTACCTTTTGACCTTCTGTGGGGTTGCAGACGGAGACTCAGCTCGGTGATGACGTGTCAGTGATCCGTTCGACCAACGGTGGTGGGAGGGGAATCGAGTTGCCGTATGTGGAGATGCGCACACGGATGTCCTCACTTGGTTTAACCCGTCCATCGGGGCGGTTGCCGTGTGTATAGCCGCTAGACGGAGTCTGGCTTCGGGAGCCACCTGTGAGAGTTAAATACTAGTTTATGGACGCTAGGCGTAGCCCACACATGCTGGCAGCTGAGCGACCTACTACGACCGTCACATGAACACGAAACTGGACATCCTCCCACCCCTACACCAGCAGCTGGAAAGAATTGGCATAAGTAGTTGTACAGGAGTTTCAGAGGACCGCAGGGAGACACAGTGAGGCTATTTTAAGCAACAGCATGACGGCGTAGATGACTTTTTCTGGTATTAAACAACTTAAGGCCAAGTACGTCCAAAAAGGGAATGTAATGATAAATAAGTCTTTAGAGATCTAATTCCATCAAGTCACGGCCCTGAAGTGATATGGGGCCAGGTCATCGACAAATAAACAAGTTGTTCCCTTACAGATTGAACTCACATGAAAGGGAGATAAGCCTCAAACTCGTGCCTTTTCGGGGACTCGAGGTCGATAAAAATGCAGCGAAAGAACTGATGGGAATTTGCTCAGACATTAAAGTCCTTAATCAGATTTGCTTAATCGAGAAGGGTAACCTCTAACAACAAGTAAACGGTAATTGAGTTTGCTTCGAGTTCAAAAATTCGACTGGTCAAATCTCATGTTTTCTTTCACATGGGTCACCAACCTCCTCTTTTTCAGTTTTATGCGTTTTACAGCACAACCGTAGGACGTTCCCAACACTGCTAACCGCGGGTAACCTCCAGGGAGACATCCAGAAAATTGAGGATGTATCGTAGATGGTAATATACATATTTTAAATTCGGTATCAAAAATGAAGTAAATGGGTATTTGGGTGGCAATGACGTCCAAGAAGTCGACTTAGAAAGATAGGTACAGTAGTGTATGTTGCTATATAAAATAAACTATTTATGATAAAGTTAAAAAAGAAAAAAAAATTACAGACATATGTTTGGACGTCTTTGACTTCATTAGCTGCAGTGGTCTAGTTTTCCGTGAACGACCCCGGATAATGGGGGAGTGCAGATTACTCAAAATGAAAAACAAGTATTCTCAGTGAGAATGAAAATGATTAATTCAGTACGGTCGTTCTGACCGGGGACCTTGAATTGAGGATTTTTATTGACCATTGAACGCTGTATCACATACAAACCTACTGATTGTATTGCGGTTCTTTTTCACCGCAGGAAGGCCTACGTCTTTAAAGCTACACTTCTAGTCTTACTAATCTCACTGGAATTCGAGGTCTGTAAAAAGAGCATTTGTGAGTTCTTTTTGTATACTTTAATAGTATTTCCATAATTTGAGAGAATCTTTTTAATACTAGCAATGTGCTATTTCACGGACGCCTGGTGGTTTAAAATCATAACTGATGTGAAGTCTTACTCTCCTTCGATGCTTAGCCATACCATTGGCCAATGTACATACATAGCTAAAATACCGACGTGTGTAGTATGTTCGAATTACGATCCTGTTTATACTGACAGTTGAACTGGCAATAGTGTTGAAGTGTAACATAAACGTTAAGAGCAACGAAGTTGTCACTTGTGGCGCGAGAGTCTCGCCTATGATGGCGATCGTGCACCCTCTTGTATGCGCCCTTATGGGCCTCCCCTATTTGTTGTTGCTCGGACTGATGACCGACCTTCAGATTTTGAAAGACGAATTTTCAGTAAACGGCAGCAAAAGCATCTACAGACAGTTAGTTTATGGATTGACAAATTTTGACGCCTACAAACGGCCGATGTCAATTGTAGAAAGTAACGTGCTGGGCTACCTCAGTGGTGATCAAAGCCAAAATATCTTTCCTGTAAAGGTGGCCCTTCGGTCCCCCGCCTTCTGCAGTAGTTATCAAGGGCGTATGAAGTTCGTAAACACTTGCTACCCGTAAGTGTTTTATCTGAGGGCGGCAGAGAACCACTAAGATACTGGAACGTCGATAATGAAAGACAAGGACTCCCAGCGCTACATGTTATTGACAGTTGTCGTAAGGAATTTGGGGCTGCTAACATCTGCCGATGCCCATCAATCTCAGAAAACTCAGAGTTCCTTTTTATTGAAATAATGTGCGTAATCCCACTTTTTGGAGAAGGCGTGCGCACGTTGGCCCGGCCTTACTGACGTGGTCTCGTTTGCGCGAGAACTGTTAAAAACTGGCGAGCGTACGTGGAGATGGAGATGACCAAACTCCCGGAAAAGTCTTGCCGAACTGAGTTATATTTCCTAGCGATTACCGAAGTTTTAAGGAGTAGATTTTTCGATTACCTATGGGCAAAGGGATTCCAGGAAACATATAGCCCGTTTACCAGTTGTTCCCAAAAGTTTGTCATCTTTTACGGGGTTGTGAACTCTTCACCCCAACAGGGGAAATGGGGTTAGAATTAGACAAGATGGTAGGTTGAAGAGTTTTAGAGCAGCCTTATAAGTTTCATCCAGACAGCACGACACTGACAATCACGAATAGATAAAAATCGGTCCTCTATTTGCACCTGAGGACCAAAGCAATATGAATGAAAAAATGGAATTGATACACTAAAACATAAATGTAATAAGAGAAGAGATAAAAATCAACCACCGTGAGAGCGAATGACACACTGAAAGTGTAGGTGAGCACACAAAGAAAACACCATTAAAGCACAGTTAAGTATGGTGGTTAGTATAAAGGCATGCAAGAACCAGGGGAAGTTAAATGAGAAAAATGGGACTGAGAGACGAAAAAATAAACATTCGGTAGACTTTGTACAGTTTTTTACGATTTTCACAATAGTCAAAAGATATAACATGGTAGACAAGCGATTATTCAAATTGGTAATCAGGTATGACAACGATGACCTGTGTCGAAAAGTGATCGCGCTTTGGCAAGGAGGAAATTATCAGTAGTAAGTATTGTCATGTTGCCTTAAATCGTTCTTTGTCTCATCGGACACTTTTATGTCAAATTTGTATTTTTTTCCGAAATATTATTGTAACCTTTGAAGTGAGTATTTGTTTTAATTAACCTCTTTTAGTTTTACAACAGGAACCATTCCCTATTTGTGGGTATTGTGGCTGTGTTTAAAGGTTCGTGGTCCCTGTTGTTGACCACGTCCTGCGTAAATGAATGGTCATAACTCAGGAGAATCCCCACACAAGCACTGTCTCTTCATGGTCTTCATCCTTAAGCGGATCAGACTAAAAAGTTCACTCCACTCCTTCAAAGATTGGGTAGTGCCGGAGGAAGATCTATTGCGATTCAAATACGCCTTATAGTAGGCGTTAACATGTTAACGCAGGTGCGTTGCAATGCACCTGCTGTAAAGGAGCACCCATATATCGGTGTGCATATGTCCATCTCGATACTGAGGTTGCAGATTAGAAACGGCAGGAACTGTGGTGAGGTGGACACGGTCGAAACACCGATATTCCAAAGTGTCCCTCCGACACATAATTTGGCAAAATAGCGCTATCCTAAGTTGGGGTTAAAGCTTAAGCTCTATCAGCCTGGCCCATATTTACGGCGCCTCTTATTCATTAGTTTAAAAGTCAATGCATTATCGTTGTAGTTTCCAGTCTTGTTTTCATTATTGTTTTTACCTTCGGACACTATCCGAGTCCTGACCTACCTCTTTCTTCGCCGAGCTTTGCGTAAGCCCAAAATAATGCCGATGCTAATCAAGCGCGGCGTGTTGGTCGGCGCCGTGATTAAATGACTCACAATTTGTAATACATTCATAGCATTCTTGGCATCGTAAGAATGCTAGCCACCCTTGCCGTTTCTCCATTGCACGTAAGAGATGCCTGTGTTTGTATTTAGATTCGAGTGCACCCGACTGCAGGCCAACTGTCTGTAGTTTTACGAAACGCCACTTCAGTGCACCTTTGCGTGGGCAGCCGCTCAATCTCAGACGCTATAAATTAGTGATTCGTTAGCACACTTGACCAACTTATACACTGGCCAGCTGTTAATCGGCTATCAACTTGGCATCTAAGTTGTCATCTAGCCTACTACACGACATAAGACAGCAAGTAAGCACACTAGTGGGTGCCTGACGATTTTTCTTGCATGCGCACTCCTCCGTGGGCAGCGTTCGTCTGGACTTACACCAACTTAGACCCCGAAGCTATGACAGAAAACAATGTTTTCTATTTTATAAAACGCTTGACATTGTGTAGGGAATTTGCGCGATGACAGTCTCGGGGTGACCGTATACATGGGAAAGAATCAATAGACTATAAACGCAGTGCGTTGTGACTTGGCTATGCTCTCCGATGGGACTCTTCCTTGGTGTTATTTCCAGATCCCATTACCAGCCGGCACCGCCGTTGAAAGTAGTAGAAAGTTGCGCATGTGATTATGCCCGGCCCAGAAAAGATGCTGGCCTCGACGGTCTTTGATGTTTGCAAGTAAAACTCTAGCCGAACAATTGTCGCCGGACATGGACCGCACTGGTTTTTGGTGCTCTATACCCTCAGGTCTGCTATGCTGTAATCGGTACAAGTACAGATTGTATGTTTTATGCATGACGGTAGCAACCCTGCAATCCAAGATTGGCTGCAAAATGTTTTTATTAAAGATGGCGAAACAAAGTTTGATATTCTGGAAGGTTGATGTATCACACAAAATACTCACGTATGCAACTGAGGCTGGTTATTTGCCGTCCATTTGTGGTGGCTCCTCTCCACATTCTTGTCATATTCTCTGGCTATCCACAGTCTACTCAAATCCGAACTTTGTGTTTGATCTCACACGCACCTTGGCCCGGTGAAGTTTACAAAGCTTCATTATGCGAAAGTGTCGCTTGTCACGATCGTGAACAGTACGAGCTCGGTCAAATCCAGTACAACACCACCACCGAAGTTTCGTAGGTAGACTACATAATTTACAGACACAGGTATGGGTAAAATAAGAAGCATGCAGTTCTTATAAGGAAAAACCACTCAAGACAGGTATTGAGTCCGAGGACGAACAAGACATCGGTGCTAAATTGTACAAAAAGCATTAGGCGATGTCCATCCGATACTGCTGCCTGCCCATCTGGCGGCTCCGCAGTTGTTGAAAGAGCCTTGCCAGTGGACGACCCTGTCTCTGGATGCCGCACTCCCTGTCAGCCATTCTGATGATCACATACCGCTGTCTTCGCACCTCTAAAGTAGCGCGTATGGTTTGACATTTGTCTGGAAGCAGTTCTTGACATTGTGAACGCATAGCACCAAGAAATATCGGCCGAACCACTGCCGGTAGTAATGTTCACCAACCAGTTTACCCTCTTTCCCACCCTTCTCAGTTTTCCTCCTGTTGTTGCGCCTTTTGTTGTCCATCCACTCAACAGCATGGAGTATATGCTGTCGTAAATTCAGTCACAGAGTTTCTAGTCTAGATTGGCCATCGACTGTTTACGTAAAAGAGGATTTCGAGCACCTCACAGGATCTGCAGATGTGGCAGAATGTTTTTTAACTGATTTCCAGCAGCGGTGCTTGTTCCATGTCAGAAAGTACAGAGACGTGACTGGCAGGCCAGCATGGGTTTTAAACGGAGAGGAGAACCGGCTGCGGACTCGTGGTCCATGTTGCCCATGTATGCCTCAAGGCCACGATGGTCGGTCAGGCAGAATGTCTCGTAAGCGAAGGACAGGCGTCTTTTTCGACACAACTATTGTTCTCGGAAGGAGCACGGATAAAGATAATGGAGAGGGGGATGGCAATTTCTGGCTCATCATCCGTCGTCAGCGAGCCGTACCACTCGACTCCAGCTTTGTGCAGTCCGCAATGCGAACGCGGCTCTCTTGGTCACTAAGCGTTAAGGTAAACGCCCCACCATTGAACCACGGACCCGTCGTCCTGTCACTTGCGATGGAGAATATTCAGTATCGTAGGAAGGCGTATTCACGGACGAGGTTACGGAACGTGCTTGTCCCGTCGCGCCTTGAGGTTCAGCCCAGAGCCTTCGCAGCCAGTCGTATGGCGACCAGCCAATTTGCGAGTTTCACTCCTAGTTTTCGATCTTTCGTCGTTAGTTAAATCTGTTGAAGCACTGAAGTTCCTTCTCGTATGTTTTTCAATTAGTTGGAGGGTCTTTGCTGTTTAATTATTCTCTTTTTAGGATCTGAAGTGCAGACATGCACATATTCGGAAGTGGGTTTACCTAGGGAGAGCAAAATCCGAGGCCTTGGGCTTTAGCGGCACATACACATACACGCTTAACGGGAGACGGTCAAGGGCTTTCCGTAGGGCCTGCCATAATCCGTTCATTTTGATCTCGAGTGACTTGCCACTATAACTCTTCCGGGTCTGCTTATTTTCTTTCATGTTTCTTCGGAATGTGTTTAAGTCGGGTTGCTTTGTTGCTAGGAGGTCCCTGCTTTAAGGGCACATAGGTCAGTCAAGCTACCACCTTCTGGGCAGTCCTTCCCTTTCTTGCCATTCTCTAGACCCCGGGTCAGACCCAGTAACTAGCTGCGAAGAAAATAGGTAGTGATTTTGAGGAGATAAATTTGTTGCTGAGCATCTGTGCGCGTTAACTGGTTATCACTGGCGTCCCACATACATAAGCAAGGAATTTCGGAGATCATGCCGAGTGGATCATTACTGTCCTCTGCCTTCATCTTATTCATCGGGAACGTTTATCGAGTTTTTATGTGCCTGTCTTAACCTCTACCTTTTTAACTGGTTTGGGAGGTTATTTCTCTCCCAATTATCCCTTGTACTTGCAAAATATCCAAAGTAACAATCGCTCTCTACTTTAGATTGGACACTGCTCCGCATGTCCACAGTTGGGGGAACGTCCCTTTTAAGCAGAGTTCTGCATCTTTGCTTTTCGCGCAAAAATGTGCTCAACCTGCCAGTTCGCGGTGGGCGGTACATTGCTCCCGGCCAGTTTTACGTCCCCTTTTCTGAACGATTTGACGAAGAAGGAAATCGGAGACCCCTACCTCACCCCGAGACTCCAAAGTTCCGCGGTCAGTCCTTACCAGCCTCTTTAGCCGTATTAAGCCTATAGCTGAACTTTTCATTATGAGGTGAGGAATTATAGAAAATTCACGTGTTTCTATTTTACAGACCCAATAAGTTGGAAACCTAGTTTTTTCCACCATTCTCAACTGAACTGCCAACTTAAGCTAAATGTTTCACTGCTCCTCTTTGGGGCGACGTAGTGCACGATGACATTACCGACAAAGACAAGAAAGACTGTCGGTAATGTCATTCTTCCTATATTACGCGCCGCTATGCGACCGCTGGCGGGGCTCGAGAGAGAGAGAGAGCCCTTAGGCACAACGGGATTAGTGAGTTCCGTAAAGTGGTCGATGAGCGACCCCTCTACCATTGCAGTGGGATCATCTCTAATGGGGACACCTTATTTCACCACAGCCAGCATGCGTCTCCACTCGGAAGAGAAGTTTCAAATTAGAGACGTTGTCCGTGACCATGAGCGGAAGATAAAAGTTGTCGAACACTCCGACCTTCGCCAGGTTGGCAGTATACACAGAAGGCGACTTTCACAGGCGCTGGACAGGATACATTGGAACCTGGTTCCACCCACTCTGGCCTTGTCATCTGCTGCATCTCGAAGGTAGGCTACAGATACTTCCGGAATCAGCCTAACATGCTGTGGACAAGTTGTATGCTTTGGCTTTCCTGGTGGGAAGTTGACAGCAACGGTTGTGGTAGAAAGGCAAATGCGCTTGCACTTTCTCAAAGAAGGGTCTGAGTGCTGAAAGATGTTGTAGGCATAAATAAGGCCAGAAATGAGGTCTTTTCCCTCGTTGTCGCGAAGGACCTTCGTTGCCTTCAGGCAGTTTTAGGTCACTGCTCGCATGCTTTTCTGTAAGCAACGGAACGCGCGTGTTGTGGCATAACCCGCCAGCTGACTCACTTTGTAATACATCATTTGCACTTGCAGCTTCTCCGCCCGACCACTTGGTTGATTATCTGGCGTTTGTTGAGTTCTCATTTATTATCCTTAATACTGGTGAAGAGTGCATTGTCGGTGGCTGCTAATGAAATTTTGACAAATTATCAAGGTTTCGTACTCCAAGGGGGCATTGTATAATAAGTACACCGACCGGCATTCCGCTGGACAGAAAATAAGGGACCCACACCGTTGTGGTTAACTACTTCTTCCAAAAAGCACTGCGATCGCAGAAAGCCGTTTCGGAGTTGTTGCCCATTATCGGTGCTCCATGGCGTTTACCTTCCGGTAAGTGAACCCGCTAGGTCTGGGACCTCTCCGATCGAGAGGTCAGGGCTAGGATAGGCTAAACTTTCGCGATGAGAAAACGCCACGCCTTCCTAATGACTGGCAACAACCTGTAGACCTCGGAGCTCTTTGTGCGAGGGTGCCCCATTACTCACGTTTCCAATTCAGGGGTATAAAACGATGGGGTATAGGGTAATCATGTGGCGGTTAAGGTTCTTGTTGACATTACAGTGTCCTCCTGCAGCGTCCTTCGCCTCTACGATCCAGCGCGAGAAGGACCTCCGCACATTTGACTGCGACCCACTCACGCGCAGTTTAAAGGGATGTCTGCGCAGCAGTAAAACTGCTTTGAGGGAAGAATTCAGGATTAACGGTCGTTCCCAGTATGGCAAAGAATCTGGTCCTGGGCTGGCATAGTGGCACGCCTTTGGACCTTATCGAGAGCGGTGTTGTCCTCCACAGCCCATGGTTTCCATGCCTGGACAGCGTACTGTAGTTGTTTTACTAACCTTATTGTCCCCACCTCTCACGTGAATTCTATCCTCTTAGATACATATTTTAAAAAGGTTGCAGTTGACATTCACCAGGCCCACTTTATTAGCCTCCATGTTTTCACAAAAATTATCAAATCGGCTAATTTGTTTGCAGTCAATGTTGACCCTAATGCAGGACCGGGGAAATGTCGTTGCTGCTCCATTTACTGCCTGACTTATGTCTCGTTGCCTTAGGCGGACTTATTCTCTGAATTTTTTAACTTAATATTACAGGGTAAGGAGAATACTATTCTATGCGGTGGAAAGTTGTTCGATTTGTAACATTGGTTTGCAGAACAATTAACCGTTGGACACGATGATCACGCTGAAGTTAGGTTTTATACCCATCGTACGAGAGGGTCTTCTGTTTAGACAGAACAAATTATACTGTTTTTAAGATTGTTTTGAGGGCAGATAAATTGCACTTATTTCAAGGAACTTTTTGGTCATGATTGCCTTAGTTCGTCTGTTTCCGAAGGAGAATCAAGCATCTTAGTCTGGCAGACCTGCAATGCCAGATTTGGCTGCTCAATTCCTTCCCTCACAAAGTTGCCTTCCTTCTCACCCACCCTCTTTAGACGAGTTACCTCCTCCTACAAATCCCAAAATTGCCGACAAGAAGCCCTTCCGGATGATCTGCGAACCAAAGAAGATCTACTGGTGGTGTTCTTGCGGCCAAAGCAAGGAACAACCCTTCTGTGACGGTCACCATGCAAAACACCTGCATCCTTGGCCTAACCGGAACGACAGGAATATGTTCAAACCAATCAAAGTCGTCTTTCCGAAGTGCGTTAACTACTCTCCTTTCGGAGGTGTTCGCCTCTGAAGTTGTTTTTTGTTGCTAGTTAGTCGGTGGATCACAGCTCCCATAACTGCCGAGAGTTTAAGTTATTTACGCAGATATCCAAGTGCATCAGGTATCGAGACTTAGAATGGTTTAAAGTGGATCACCTAGGAGCTGCATCTGGCTCTTGTCGTTAGACAGGGAACGGATCCTCTCAGCCTTGCTGCACCCCAACTAGTCCAATGAGAGCTCACGCTTGCCGTGCGCCAGAGCCTGTTTCCCTACCGAAACCCATGGACATGCCGAGTAGCTCACGACTTGACTGAAGGGCAGACCCTCGGGTACTTGTCAATCCGGACCGATTGCACGACAGAATCTCGGCGTTCGCTTTTGCTTTGGTGCCCCAGTCTAGAGCTCGCGCGTGCACTAGCACGATGGGCGATCAGTCAGACATTGAGAAGTATTGTCAACAAAGACAAACCTGAGGTTCGAATCTGGTCTCATTTGATCACTGAGTTAGATGCTCTATCAATGAGTGCTGCCGGCTTCGGTGGGGATTCGGCAAAATCGCATGTGATAACGTCCGCGGATCTGTTTTGATTACACGACAAAATATGGTCATTTTATTTCGCCATTAAGCTATTGTCTACCGCCCTTGCAGAGAATCACATCCATTGTGAGATCAGCAGTTGAACTTGACAAGCTATGCTGATTTTGAGTGGGGCCTGGACTACAATACTGTTGCGTATCGACTGTTGTCTCACAACTTCATTTACGGTAGCAAGCGCTTTTTTCGTTGAAACTTCTAAGTTGCTTGTGGCTATTTCACTCGCATTATAGATCACTAGCAAAGTTCTAGCACCCTAGCCACCGAGATTATTCGCTTAGTCCTCCATAATACTTTTCTAGGTGACGTTTGGTCCAATTCCGGGGGTTCCTTGGTTATTCCCGATTCTGAGGTAGATTTCATTATACCGTTCATCCACTCGTACCAAGCAATCCTCGTGCCGAAATCAACCATCAACATTATTAATGACTGAAAATTATAAATCCAAAAAAGGGAAAAGGATCACGGGCCTTCGACAATGGAGAGATAGAATATTAATTCGATCTCTTCTACTCGACGTCCTCCCTCGTCTTGTCCGACGTCGAAATTGTATAGTCCACTTCCACTCGAGATCGACTCGTTTTCCGGCACTTGACAATCTTCCAGGCAACAGGTCCTGATAGATTCGAGCGCGTCAGATTTATTAGTCAGCAATGCGTTGACGTGCCGTGGGAGTGGATTCTCCACTAGGGCCAGTTTTGGCGTTTCACCAAAGTAGTGTATTTCCTCATAGTTATCTTTAATGCTTTTTGATGACTAAATTATCTTGTCTAGGAAGGATCGGTCAACATTCGCACTCTCAGTCACTTTATGAGAGAATAAATTATTTGAAAGAAGACGAAGGCACGATCACTAGGGCGGTAGATTTATTCGCCTTAGCTTTCGACTTTGAGCAGGCGTTCATCATCATAGATTGCCAGTGCAGCGACGTGTGAACATTTATATCGTTGTGCCGTGGGGGGGGAGGTAACTACGTCCCTGGCTAGGTCTGGTGTGTGCTGTCTGGCCCACAATGGCTCCCCTGCGTGGTGACGGAGTTTGTACTTCGCGGCAGTGTGAGCTGCGCTATCTGGCTGCGTGGGCGGAGTGCGTGATTACACGCAGGCAAATCAATGTGCCTATTGATAGAATTGGTGTCCGACACCCACGCCTCGAACAGTTCTCGCCCCGTCTTGCCGGCTCGCGCCAATATCCGCGTGCTGGCGAAGTCAAACTCATGGCCTTCCTCCAGCGTCTGAGTGGCGACTTAAGATAATGGGTCGTCTCGCCGAACGGCCCGTTTGTGTTCAAGTATTCGTGAACTGAGACGTCGTCCTGTTTGGCCTGTGTAGTGACAAGGACAGTTATAGCACGGGATTTGATTGACTACGCCCGAGTGCTCACCTGCCTTGTTGCGCAAGAAAGGCGCGTGGAATGTATAGTTTAATATAATGTAAGCATGATTGGAGGAAGCGCATACGGAGGAGTTGAGCAGTACTTTTGTAGGTGGCCATCATCAGTACGCCAAGAATCGCCTTGGTTGTGTGAAACCTAGTTGTGCAAGGGAGGCACGTAATTTGAAGCCTGCTTATCCCCTGCCTTTTTGAAGAACTACAGACTCCAGGCTGATTACCTCTATTTGTTTTTTAACCTAGGACTTTTGTGCCTTTAACTGTTACTCTTCTATAATTCATTGATATTTTGGCAGATTTTGACTAATTCATATTGACCCAACTGTGAAAAACTCGGCGCCTCGGTGGGATTCGAACCCACGCAGTAAGGGGAAGGCTTTAGTACAGCCAACGCTCTAACCACCTGAGCTACGAGGTCAATATGAATTAGTCAAAATCTGCCAAATTATCAATGAATTACGCGAGCCTGGTAGTCATCTGGTGGATTCTAGGTGAATTACTTAGGAAATCCTGCTTGGGCAGTCAACTTACTGCATCAGATTTGGTGGATTCCAGACGTTGCAGTAGGTTGGGCGGGTAACTTGACCCAAGTGTGATTAAACTCGCGTCGTCCGACGGGATCTCGTAGCTCAGGTGGTTAGAGCGTTTGCTGCGCTAAAGCCTCCCCTTTACTGCGTGGGTTCGAATCCCACCGAGGCGCCGAGTTTTTCACAGTTGGGTCAATATGAACTCTTCTATAAAGAAGAGATTTCCTGCGAACATACTTGATCCCACATGAGAGGCAGTAGTTTTTTTTCCTGAGCAAGTTTATCCTATTCGACACTTCTGTAGGATCAACTTAGCAGTTTATGTTCTCCAAAAGCACGTTTAAAGACATCAGAGGCAGTGGGTCTGCATGCTGAAACAGTGTATCCTTGTGAGCCACCGCCGGCGATGTTGCGATCTCTCAGTCCACGAGTAACCTGTCTAAAGAAATGAGCCATTTTTGATACACCTTATAGGATATGGTATGCTCTGAAACTTTTGATGCGTTGAATCCAATGGCTTCCGGATTTAATTTGCTGCCCTCACTTCCAGTGTTGTACGGGCTCCCCGGCCATGTTGTTATTTTGGCAAAATAAAGTTGCAACTCAAGTGATATATATCACTTCATAGTTGCATAAAGCCGGCGGTGTTTTAAAGGATGGAAAGGTTTTACGTGCTCGAAAATACGATGTTATTTAAGGAGTTTGTTTGGGGATACGCGCAGTCACTGTCCATAGAATGACAAGGGAGCTTCATGTGAGCATCGAAGACAATGGTCACTGAGGACATTTTCAATGGCTGACCGGTATTTCATGCTATCAGATTTATTGTAACCGCGTAGTATGCGCCGAAAACCATGAAACGTCGACCGACTTTTTTAAAATACGCATTCACCGGGGACTTACGACTTTGTTGATGTTTAGAGCTACTTATCAGAAGACATAGTCCATAGTTTATTCACTTTTAGGCATTTACTGCTTTCATTTTACAAGAAATTACGTCTCCTTAAAGTATTAAACACTAGGCGGTATTTCTGCTTTGGGCGATTTTGAGTCCGACACAGGGATATGGATCCCCCCGTAATATAGATCGCCTCACGGTAAATTCCGGGGAAGTGCCTTTTCCTATGTCCTAACTTTGACCCCAACTCCCATGGAATTAAAGGCAAGGTCACCTGTAGTACGGGGAGGTTACGTGTTCACATACCTAACCACATCTTGGACTGAAACTTATGCTTTCGCTGCATTCTGTACGTTTCCACTGAAGCAACTGGACTAACGCTACATATGCCTCTAGGTGGAATTCCTCGTACTCATAGAATGTTGCAACAGATGTAGATTACGCTGCCCGCTTTGTGGTCAGTCCTCATAATCCCGTCGTTAGTAGTCGCAGTAGACTTTCCTACAGACGTCGAAAAGGTCCTCCCGCTTCTCTGGCACAAATTTGAGGTGAGGATTGAACATGTAATCCCGCTGAGGAAATAGAGCACAAGGATACCTGTGATATGGAATGTTAATCTCAATTTTCTCGGTAGGGCAGGCAGGCCCGACAACTAATGGGATCTGTGACAGACGTTAAAAGAGCTCACAGTTCTGCCATGTGTTTGTTTTATTACTCCAACGAGGTGTCGCAACAGACGGCACAATTTGTAAGGTGCGAATTAGGGCGTGTGAACGGACGAAAAATAGGTTATCCGCGATTACTTATTAAGGGAGGCCAAACCGGGTAAACAAGTATGTGGCAGACAATTTTAACTAACAATAACCCCATCCCGAGTCTTTAACCTAACTGAAATCCTAAGGTGCCTATATAAATGAAATAAGTGGATATGATACTGTAGTGAAGACTCCTGGTTACATAGTGGATACCAGAGTTAAAACGAGTATAGCAGAAGAATTAAGGTTTTCATAAGTAATAAAAAATCCACGAAGAAAGTGCACATTGCTTAAGTGATGATTTTGCGGCGTTATTTACACAAATAGGGGAGATGCTCACTTAGATGTCAGCATGTCACTATAGGAAATAAACTAATCTATTTCGCTGTAGACGTCCAGGGAATTCTGCTCAGTATTTAATGCGTCTTGTTGCATATGGCATGCAACCTTGTCTTTTTAAAGAGATACTCGAGCGTTTAAGTTGATGCCTTACTTATTTCCGCATGCGTTGTCCACTTCGACGACCGCTCTTGTAATAATTTGTGTTTTTTGCCTTGCAGGAAAACCGAGGTCTGGTGGTGCCGGTGCAAGCAGACCAGCTCTCCTCCCTTCTGTGACGGAAGCCATAACTGCGAACAAGTACAGGCCGCGTTCAAATATTAAGCGGCCGCCCCGACCCTCCCCCCTTTCTCGATCCCCGCGGCCACTTTTTTATAGATTTCTGCCGAAATACAGCCAGTAATTTTTTCGCAAACCTTCCGCGATCTTCATTTTTCGATCGAGGTAGACTTCCCCAAACTTCACGAGTGCTGGTGCCGACGTCAGATTCTCTGTTTTTCTCTCAACTCGTGCAAAGTTTGGCGTTGTTGAGGAATGTTTTTTCCACTGAGAGGTGGTGGGGCGTACTGCTTAAGTCATTCAACACGATGTTTTACTTTAGTAGAAGTGGGCAGCGGAGGCGAAAAAGGCCCGCATATAAGCAAGTGGAATAGTTGCTTATATGCTAAGACGTAGTATTTCATCCAGTTTAAATGTGGAAAAAGAGAAAGAATTGGATTTGCTCCTAAATACTACGACAGGGAGGCGTGCTTAGAGCTGCAGATTCTCAAAAGGTGCTCCAGCATGAATACAACTTTGCCTAGAGTGCCGTCTCATGAAATGTTAACCGCAACTCTGAAGAACGTTCCCGATTAGGAAAGTGTACTTAAGGCGGGGCAACGGGACGACTGAATTCCGCAGAAACGATAGTGGGGGGCCCTCTACAATTATATAGATTTATATATGATATTACCGACAGAGACAAGGGAGACTGGCCGTTTCAGGCGTATTAGCCGTCGTCAGCCAGTCATACCCAACCCTGAAGTGTGGCACACCCGAGGTCCCATACCATTGTATATTCCCGATCGAAAACCGACAAGGCAACGGGCTCGTGGCCCGGTGAGTAGAGGCGTTGACTTCTAAACCAACAGGTCGCGAGTTCGAGGCTCGGGTGTTCCACACTTCGGGCTTGGGTATGGCTGGCTGACGACGGCTAATAAGCCAGAAATGGCCATTCCAGTCTCCCTTGTCTTTGTCGGTAATATCATTCTGCCTATATATATATATATATATATATATATATATATGAGATGGAGCCGACAAAGACAAGGGAGACCGGAATGGCCACTTCTGGCTTATTAGCCGTCATCAGCCAGTCATACCCAACCCCAAGTGTGGATCACTTGAGATTCGAACCCGGCATCTTTGGCCATGGAGTTTGACGCTCTACAACTGAGCCACGAGCCCGTTGTCCTGTCGGTTGTGATCGGGAATATCAATTATGACAGATGGGCGCTCACCGATCAGGTTACAGAACGTGCTCACTCCGTTGTGCCTTGGGGCTCGTACTAGAACCCTCGCAGGCAGTCGCACAGCGACTAGTAGTAGTAGTAGATATAGATGAGATGGTACCGACAAAGACAAGGGAGACCGGAATGGCCATTTCTGGCTTACTAGCCGTCATCAGCCAGTCATACCCAACCCTAAGTGGGGATCACTTGAGATGCGAACCCGTGATCTCTGGTCAAGGATTTTGACAATAATAGAGTTTCAGACAATCCGAACCAACCATCACCAAGATCTACGGATTGCCCAAAGTTCACAAATCTGAGGTACCATTGGGACCGATAGTATAATTAATCGGTGCACCCAATTACAAAATCTCCAAGTGGCTATTCCACCAACTTCACCCACTTACAGGAGATTGTGTAAATTCCATTGAGAGAAATCACAATTTCCGCGGATGAGATAATGGTCTCCTTTGATGTGGTTTCTTTATTCACTTCCATACAACTAGGTTTCGCAAGGCAATGCACAGATGAACTCCTAAAGTCCTATGATACGGATGTCCCTGCAGCTGCCTTACTTGGACTTATGGATCTTTGTTTAGAAACCAATTTTTCGTTTGACCACCAATATTATCAACAACTAAAAGATGCTCCAATGGGATCACCCATATCTGGCTTTCTTTTCGAGGTGACAATGCATAAATTGGAATCGGTAGCTCTTCCATTAGTTAAACCTAAGTTATGGGTACGATATGTAGACGACACGTTTTTCGTCGTTAAAACGGATTAACTAGAAATACTCCACAACACAATTCAATTATTCTGCGAATTAATTTCACGCTCGAAAAAGAAGTCGACAATAAGCTCCCATTTCTAAATGTTCTCGTACAGCGTAAGACTGACGGAACATTACACACTTCCGTTACCGCAAAGAAACATATGCGGAAATAATTCTATACTATGAGAGCAACAGTCCGATCTCTCACAAGCGGAGTACTGTCACAAGTCTGATACATCGAGCAAAAACACATTGCTCTGATGAAGAAAGCTACAAAGTTGAACTAAACTACCTGTTTAAATTATTTTCTCAGAATGCTTACCCTTGAGATTTCGCACGTCGATGCATGAGACAATAAGAGATAAAATCAAAGGAACTAGGTAGTTCAAATCAAGCGCCCAAAGCAAACATTTGGCGAATCCTTCCTTACATCAGGAATGTGTCTGAACTTCATAAAGGCACTTAAGGAAACACCAGATAAGAGCGGTGCACAAGCCGACGACTATTTTACGCACTAAGCTTGTAAACCAGTCAGCTTGTAAACCCCAAGGATAGGGGTGGCTATCTCGATAAAAAGTAAGCCATCAAATAGATCTCATACAATGCCTATGATGCCGTTTATTGTGGCTCAACGTGAAAATTTGCCTCTATACGCATCCACGAACATCAACTGGCAGTTAAGAGGCGAGACCACCTGTCTCAAGTGGCCATGCGCACCCTTCATACGGGCACACCTTCGCATGGGATAAAACGCACACCGTCGGAGTTTGCCCATTTAATAAAGGCCGAGAGTTTCTTGAAGCCATGCCCTCCGATGAGACATGCATCAACAGGCATATCGAGTTAGATGCCACGTACAAAAATCTCAGAGAAAAGTGGAAGAGACGAAAGCCGATCAATACGGACTGACGCACAAGACGGTCGATTAACAGCTGAAGCACCAAATGGGTATTAGTTTTGTGGCACGTTTGAAATTTTAATTGTTTTCTGCACATTTACTCTAGTCTGACGACGACACGGGGAACCGACGTCGAAAATTTACTCAATAAAGTTTTCTCCTTTTCCCAAAGAACGTATTCACTTTCAAAGTATATATATATATATATATATATATATATATATATATAGCAGCGAGGAGGAACGACAGAGAATGTGGGTAGATTGATACAGCACTGTTTCGGGCTTATTCTGCCTTCATTCAGCCTCGCTGCTATTATGACTTGGCCGACTTCGGCCTGGTAATTAGTTGCCTGTTCGTGACCTTTGCCACACATACGGAGCTTGTTTGCTTTGTGAAGCCAATAGATCGGTTTGCGCCCATTCCTGATTGATATATATATATATATATATATACATATATGGAAAGGTAATACCGACAAAGACAAGGGAGACCGGAATGGCCATTTCTGGCTTATTAGCCGTCATCAGCCAGTCATACCCAACCCCAAGTGTGGATCACTTGAGATTCGAACCCGGGATCTTTGGTCATGGAGTT